CACAGACGCAAGTTTTGACTATCATAGCGAATAACGAGAACGTTTCTCATGAAAATGTCCGATTCTCTGATGTGTTAGGTACTCGCTTTTCTGACATCAGAATTATATTATTTGCACATCGCTAGAACGAGCAAAGCGAGCTCTATCTGTTGGTATAATATTTCAATGAAGAAAGAAAATGTATAACTTTTGTTTCTGCTTTGCGAACCAAGAAATATAAAAGAAAACAGTGCGGGTATCCGGATACTTTTTGGAGTACCTGTATATGTAGTAGCTGATTCTTATGTTAGTTTCATTGGAAACTGATGATTGGCTTGCTGCTCATGTAGTTCAGGATGTGGATGTGGGCGGGTTTGGAGCTTCACTTCGTACGTGACCCCATCTACATACAATTTCTAGCGAAACAAATCAAATATGTAGAATTGGATGGATAGAAAAATTTAATTTGCCAAACAATGTATTTTTGGCTATTCTTTAGTCAATATCTCTATCAAATATAGGGATATCGGGATGAAAATATGACCATAATTACTCAAGTGTAGTCCCAACATGTTATGAAATTTAGACATAGATCGAGATCATTTGTTGAGTGCGGGGGAGGAAAAGCCTTGAAGAAAGTTGTTTTGCTTTTTTGACCTATTGGGTCTTCACTGACAAGCTCTTCAAGTGGAGATCATGTTTCGCATGACGATATTTGACATATGACTTTTTTGTGTATTAAGAGGCAAAGTACAGTTTTGATTGCTGAAATCTGAATCCAAAACTACATCACAAAAGTGTCATACGTCACTTCAATATTAATTACTGTATAATGGGTTAGTAGATCTTGGACATCGATACGCCTACCAAAAATCAATTAAGTTTTAGAAAGAAAAGGAGAAAAATATAAAACTAAAGGATTAAATTCGAAAATTGCTTTTCTAAAGTGTGTTTCTTATTTAAAAAGCAGAATACGGCTGCCAGCTCTTATTTTATTCTAAAAATAGCTTTCACATTAAACTATGTTTCTTAGAAATATTCTTTTTCTTCTTTGCTTTCTTAGAAGTCTCTCTGCTGAATTGCTTATTTTCAATATTCGCGATAATGGTAAAATTTGTACACAATGGATGAATCGGCCAACTGGCAATGTGTCTCTTGAAACAAATCCTGAATGTGTCAGTACTGTTTCATTGGAGCAAAATAATACAACGGCACAAATGCGTCTCTGCTGTTAAGGCATGCCATTAACTACGCCAGCACCATATTTTCCAAAAGAATGTGGTAAACAATTATACACACCATTGGGACAACGTATTATTGGTGGTTCTGTTGTACAACCACATTCGTGGGTAAGTTCAACGTACTTATTCTTTCATTCTATTCGAGTTTCATCATGTGCTACTATCTCTTAGCCGTGGTATGTTTTGGTACATGGAATTGATCATATGTGTGGTGGAACTCTGATTGATGAACGGCATGTTCCTACGGCAGCACATTGTATTAAGCAAAAACAAGTCTATACAGTTACTGTCGGTCTACATAGTATAGTTGGGGCGCATTTTATGGAACAGAAAATAAGTACAGAAAAGATCTATGTACATGAAGAGTATGATAGTGTGAAACTATCAAATGATATAGCTATCATTTATTTATCAAAATCTGTTGAAGTTACAGATAAAATAAACTTTATTTGTCTTCCAGGTTCAGAAGCAAGCATTGGTGAAAAATTTTATACCGGTAAGAAAAGGGCTCACCGTTTTCATTTTTTTTCTTTTCCACTTCTTGACAAAATATTTTCTCAATGATAATTGATATACGGGCAGAAAGAAATAGAATCAAACTTCAGATTTTCCACCTTATTGGTCATTGTTTCCTTTTTTTTGTAGTCGGTTGAGGAAAAACATCAGTAAACGGTAATATAAGTGCAGTATTGAAACAAACAGATTTGAATGTAATGAGCTGTCGGAGATTTTGGGCTTTATCAAAGTATGATACTCAAAAACAAATGTGTGCTGCCATAGCGGAAGTTGGACAATGTAATGGTGGTTCTGGTGGTCCCTTGATGTATCAGGACAATGAACGATGGTAAGATGTAACTTCTGCTTGTTAGAAGATAATCAATTGATCTAGAATAATCTTTCCTTTATTCGACTTACTCTTCTTTGTACAAGTATTTGAATGGAATTGTCAGCTTCAGCACCAATTGTCAAACTGGCATACCAGCTGTTTTTGTGCGTGTAAGTTACTACTTGCCACGGATCAGAGCGAAAATGACATTATCAACAACATGAAGTAGTCAATGTGACTAAGATTCCTTTTTTGCGTCGCTTAAAATTTTTCTATTAAAAACGCTTAATGAGTGAAAAATGGAAAATAAACGTTGTGCCTCGAGAGGTGTTCAAGGACGAGGAGTACGATTTATCGACGTTCTCCGAAAATTCTATGAAGGCTAAAATTTAAAACAACACAATATCTACGGTATTTCGTTTGCATATACACTCATTTTTAATGTGAGTTTCGATGCGGATTAAAACAAAGAAAATATCCACTCACACCCTAGACCCCACTCGCCATATTATAAATCAAAACTTGTATATAAACAGAAAAATCTTTGCTCTTCGCTTGCTGAAAATTTTAGAAGTTTAAGGTGTTCGTGAACTAGAATTTGTCCAGTCTGCTTGCTACATTTAACAGATAAATAAAGTTTGATTAAAAGAAATAAATAATGAGAATTTTGAAACGTACAAAATGTGTTAAATGACTGCTGTAGCACTCTGGAGTGATCGCTTTTTTTCTGAAGTCAGAAACAAATGATTTTCTGAATCCGTTGAATAAAACTGATGCCATGTTGTTTTAATAGCCAATTTTATTATAGATCATGTTATTATATAGATATCAGTGACTAACAAAAAAAAAATGCGTAAGACTCGTTTACCTTCTTATCATCAATAGCAGGATGAACTTTTCCTTTCTTCTATTAAATTATTGATTAAAATAAACGATAAAGTTGTTGTTTCACTTGTGAAATTACTGTTTGAGATTATTCAGTGTATTTTCTAAATGTTGATATGACGACGGTAAATGTGAATGTTATTCGAAAAAATGAAATCAAATAATGTATGAGAAATAGTCTTGGTTTGCATAAAGATTTCACATATCCAATAATGAAAAACCAATAAGATATAAGAGATACAAAAGATTTTAAAACAATTTTTCTTAAAACTGTTCTGTGTAGATGTGCAGCATTTATATACTCTGACTGACATCTTAATCGAACATCTATATGCACGTTCTTTACAATATTTTGACATCTTTTTTTTTGATAAAAAGGACTCTATCTATGCGTGGTACATGAAAAAACTTGTTGAACGTTTTTGAGACTCAATATTTCTCTTTTCATGTGTCTTCAAAAATCTTTTATGATCAAATTAGATCATTTTAACATTTTCCAAGAGGACACAAAAGCACTCAAAAATAAACCAAGATTAGGATGGTTGACCACCTTTTCGGATTTTCTACTATGTTTATGAAGTAAGATTTGCTAGTAGTCATAAGGATGTAGTGGTCACATTACAATGTATAGAGTTCTTAATACATTATAAGAAGTAATGTACATAACTATATGATAATGCAACTTATACCACACATTATAATCTATAAAATAAGTTGCATTGCTCTGTAATTAAGCACGCCATCCTTTTATCGCAAAGGAATGCATTACAACGACCATTACTACAGAAAATCGACTACGAAATACTCACAAACATATTGTAGTCATTCAAATTTCTAGGGTGGGTGTGAGGGAATCACACCCACACTCTTCAAAAAAATGAAACCTTGTAAAATATCTGGATAGTGGCTTTTCAATAAATAATATCTTTTGAAAATGATCCTCGAGTACAGATGTGATTTTCATTCTTCATTGACATATCAATTCTACACTCCAAAATTACAGTTTATTGAGAAATTAGTAATGAACAAACATTTCAAAGAAAATTTCTTTGATTAATATGAATCTTTAATGTTTATGCCGCTTGAATCGATTTGTCATTATTTCTGGGACAGAATTCGATTTAAAATTGTTCATTTATCTCTTCCAATAGTATTCGAGACAAGAAAAACAAAATATCAAACATAGACTTCCGTATAAAAAACATATTCTATTCGCCAGTTTTCTTTCAGGATGTCTGATGTTATTAGATATTAATGCGCTTCATTTGAACTGTCATACGGCAGTTTTTTGTCCGATGAAAATGATAAACAAAAATTCCTAAGGTGAAATTCAAAGAGATAAATATTTTTTACTACTTTTATATTTGTATGGTGTTTTCGTTTGTATTAAGAAAGCTTTCAATTCATAGACCAGGTTTTCTTTTTAGCTACTAAGACTAAGAATTCTTTGTCTAATCCTTATCAATAGCTCGAGAGGATTTATGGTTAAAATGTTAGTTTTTATATATAAATAAAAGAGATGCTCTGTTTTTTCTTTTTGATGCATTTAGAAATGGTAAGAGTTTATAATAAGACAGAAAAAGGAGCAAAGGTTTTCAAAAAAAAAAAGAAAATCATAAGTTCAGAAAAATTACAGACAATATTAACAACACCGAGACAACAGCACCGAATTAGTCAGAACTCACAGAATATAAAATGAAAAACAGAAGACAGGTAAGATGGAAAAAAGAAGAGAGAAGAAAATATGCGATAATACATATCTTTACATGAAAAGAGATACTGCTACAAAAAAGAAACGAACAGTTATTAATAGAATTTTAAAAAAAGAAAAGCTTGGTTGATTATTATTATTTTTTATTTCGGTCGTTGAAATTTATCTAGAATTCTTCAAAATCTTTTCCTAATTTGTCTGTTGTTGCAATACAAACTAAAATCAAATTGTAAATCATAAGAATTAATTAAAAGCTGCATTGAATTTTAAAATTTTCTTACGTGGTTCTTCTTCATATTCATTAAAATTACTTGCATCACCTAAATAAAACAAAAATATTCATACGTAAAAAAATTTTTAAATTAAACAAACCAGGCTCTTTTATTTTCGGTACAAATGGTGCTTCTACTTGTCGTTGATATATAGCATTCCAATCGGTAGCTGAAAACCATCGATGAATTTGAATATCATCAACACCATTTTCTAAAGTCCCATATCGTTTTTTTACATCAATTTGAAGAAGATTGCGTAATAGATCTTTTAAATCGCTACTAAAGTGTGATGGAAATCGAATCTAAAATTTTATTTTAATTCAAATATACGTATTTAACTTTATCAAGGCTTCTTACTTTTCCTGATACAATTTTTTCATAAATTTGAATTGGTTGATCAGCAAAAAATGGTGGATAACCCTAAGTAATAATAAAAAAAATATTGTTGTTTCTTTGTTTTAGTAAATAAGAATCTTAAACATACAGCTGACATTTCATATACTAATATACCTAATGCCCACCAATCAGCTGCTTTATTATATCCTTTTGATAAAATTATTTCTGGTGCCAAATATTCTATTAAATACCAAGTATTCTATTATTTGATATTGAAATTTTTTTCTTTATTATACCTGGCATACCGCATAATGTCCAAGTTCGATCTAGAATTATATAAAAAAATATACGAAATGAAATTCTCATATAACATATTTCATACTAAAATCAAAGATAGTATGAAGCCGTTGAAAAAGAAATATAGGTCTATGTCATCACTAAAATGACGTTGATTATAATATTTTGTTGAGAGAAAAATATTGTTAGTCAAGCGATCTTTCATTATATATTAGAAATGGGAATGATTCATGTTTTTTTCTCTTTTGGAGTCTAGACTATCTTCGCTACATCGTTTCATGTTCGAGATATGAGTTTGACGTACTAATGTACTTATTGTTCTTTGACAATAATATTCCGATATTGTATGAATAAATTAGCTTATAGGATTAGAGTATTAGCACAAGATATTCTCTTATTTTTCGGCCATTGAAAAAACAATTGGTTAGGACCAGAGTTTTTCGTTATTCTCGAATATATGTTCAGACTTGCTTTCCGGGTACGACTGAATAACAATCAATAGTTTTCTTGAAAAATTTCAAAACTGTATCTATACAAAGCAAAGTAGCATTTTCGTCGCGCTCCTTGGTTGTGTTTTGAAACCACTGCAATCTACTATTTGTTTACAACATTGAATTTATATATTACAATAAGCGAAATCGCATCTATGCGTTTCAACTAACGAACTAGTTTCTATGGAAAACGATATTTTAATTGATAGCGAAGTTACAAAAAATGAGCCATTAAAATCTATTTTGCATTTTGAACCATTTGACATGATAATTGTTCAAGTTTACTCTAGAGACAAATTCTGATTTTAACCAGTTAAGTGCCTGAAAAATGTGTAAATATTCTGTACTATGACTTTTACATTGCAGCTCAACGAAAAAAAAAGGATATGAAGAAATTTTTATGTTGCTTCATTTGAACTACATAAGTCAATATTATTATTTAAGTATTGATCGCTGAAGTCTTTCAATTAGATACCCATGGATTAAAAAAATGAAAAAGTTTCGTTTAAATGGTTATTTTCAGAATTTTTATCAAATAAGTTTCATGAATTTGGTTATAGCGAAAAAATAAAAATTATTTGATTTTCTTCCGTTATTTCTGCACTATTTTCATTCCATGAATTTATCATTTTTATCCCATGACATTGACTATTTGTAAAACATCAAAATCGCTACGTTAGTTTCAACACATTTTCATTGATTCATTTTATAAGTTCCATTTTTTTAACACAAAAACCAAAGTTATCCTCACATGTACCGGTCTTATAAAAACAGAATGCATAAGGACAAGAAGGACGTCGTGCACTGATTTTTTACAGTATAGATTATTAATTTCAATATCGAAATCTGTCCTAATTTTTAGTGGTTACAGAGAAAATTGAACTTTTTGAAAGTTCGCTGCACAATCACTTGAAGGGCAAGATCTCTGAACTTTCTGAAAAGTTCAGGTGGGAAAAAGGCAACGCAATCATCACGCTATATTTTTTCCTGACAAGACTTTGATGAAGGTTTAACATTTTTAACCACATGA